ATAATGAAATAATAACCTGCAGAGACAGAGAATACAAACCCAAGTCTCTCAGAGTGAAAAGCCTACTACTGTGCTCATTTATCTGTCACACCAAACACCATGCTGCGTGTAGTGTTTTAACTGAGCCCTTTATTTTGAAAAGCACAAGAATTTTATTTTGAAGCAATAAATCACTGTTTTTACAGTGCGGCTCGGAGGAGTGTCTTTGCAGCAATAGAGACAAAGAATAACAAATGAGTCTGTTATCAGAGTCTGACCTACTCTCTGGGTTTTGGGCTAATTAACAGCAGTGTGACAGCTATTGTGCCGTAGCCATGGCCTTTCACTACGCAGCAGTATTACTTTGTTTATTGCTGATGGAGAAGTGCTGCCACCTTATCTAAGAGCAGGCGAGACTTAACACAAACAGCCCTGTTGAAAGACATTAAATGTGACCTTAAGAGCACTCCGTCATTATTTAGAAATTTGTGTGTCATTTAGAATAAAGAAGTGCTTACACATGCATGGGAGAAACCCACAATGTGATGATGGCAGCACAATAATGTACTGCAAACAGTTTTGAAAGCAATACAATGTGTCTTTATTATTCAAATAACAAATATGATAGAGGCTAATTGAATTGATTTGCTTTGGAGTTCTGTGGGGAATTCAGAGTGTATGTGCTTCTTTTCGATTAAATGCTGACTTCCTGTGTGTGTGTGTGTGTGTGTGTGTGTGTGTGTGTGTGTGTGTGTGTGTGTGTGTGTGTGCTCTATATTGCTGGGAGACTGGGGTACTCACTGCTGACAACATGGTTTTTCTTATTTCACTCAGGTTACACAAAACTATTTTTATCTAAAAAGACGCCTGAGTTTCCAGGGTTCCTCTGGCTCCATTTAATAATGCAATATCTATCTTGTCACAGTCCTTTGTCAAAAACGACTTAACTGTATTCATCCTAAAATAATCTCTGCATTCTTCAGTTTTCTGACGTTTTAATAAAGTCTGTGGTCCTGTTGTTTATACCCTCTGCTCTGAAGTCTCTTAATCAGAATCTAAAGCTCGGAGAAAATGCACATGTCTCAGAAGAGCACTCCTTACTGGCTGTGCACAGCTGGGAATCAATAAATCATGTCAATAATGATTCAATCCATTACTGCAGTCAAATGCTTTGCCATCCAATTACAAGGGTGTTTGGGTCACTTTAAAGAGTGAAAGACCTCCGCCTGATTGTACTTGAGTATCACATAAATCAATATCTGTACTTAATACACTACCACTCATTTGCATAACGATGTGATGGGAGTAGTGTCTTTTCTTAGACCACATCGACACTACTGTGTTTTAGCTTGAAAACACTAAAAGTACAATCTCTGTCCATACAAACATTTTGGCTCCAAATCCGTTTTAATCCCCGTCCATAATATCACACCGCAGTTGTAAAATACTGAATTTAACTCCAGAACAACTGTTGTGACAACAAGGTCAACAAAGTATGTAATTGATTGTCCATGTTCCATTTTACACTGCTCATTGAGGTTAATTCTGGCTGTTTTCTTCGGGCAGAGGGTTGATAGGGGACTGACGAATGAGCAAAGGCTACAACAAGAAGGAAAAGACCCGATCAGCAAGCGGTTGTGGGTGTCTACAGCATCGTTTCCAAACATCTCCATCTCTGAAGGGAGGCCAGCAGCTTCTCCAAACTACTCTGTTTTAACAGCTCTAACACGAAGTAATGTGGATGCCAGGAATAACACAGTTGATGCATTTTTAAACCAAAACCCAGTCGTATAAATATAGCCCTAGAAATGAATCCTGGTGCAAACCTTCTGACACACATCAGGACACTGTGCCAAAATTAGGTTAAAAATCGAAACAAGTGCTTTCCAGTAATCAGCTGCATGTAAGTGTGATGTCACATTGCTTCATTTCGGCTTTCACTCTCTGGCAAAGCAGGTGTTATGGATCGTCGCAGCTCTCGGAGCAAGTTGCTGACCCTTTTCCCTCATCCCTTTCCTGTTTGACTGTGTGCAGCCAAGTGCAGGGGGAGCAGGAGTCCGTTTGTTCCCTGCCATTACGACATGTTTTTCCCGTAATACCTCTGTTCCCCTATTTTCGTCCTGTCAAGTCATGTTCCAGGTAGGCTGACAGAGCGCAGCGCACAGCCAGAGGCAGTCCAGGAAATGTTGTGTCCCTGTGTCCAAAAACATGTTTTGACCGTCTGTGCCACATCTGGAGGGATATTTACTCCTCAAGCCATTCTTCTCTGCACTCTCATGCACAATACTCTTGACAGCTTCCATTTGCACACGCTGCAAATGCAAAACATATTTTGCTCTAATGAAAACAGAAAAAAGGGGTCATATGTGGCAGTTGGAAGTAGAATACACTTGAGAGTCACAGTCGGCACTGCCAAAAAGACCAGAGCAGGGCTATCTTTAGTGTTTTTCCAATTCAAAAACAAAAGGTTACTTTATGGCAGCTATAAATGTGCTACTACTGACACATTAAAATGGTCTTGGCTCCAACACTCAATAATAGTTACAGAATCACACAGTAGCAAATGGAAACAAAACAACTGAGTCACAGTGATCGCATTGTTTTGGTGCTGTAGCATTTTGCAAAATACATTACTCAGCATCCTATTTACGCATAATCGCAGCTTAATTACTACAGCAAACTCAATGGTTGCATCTTCCACGCAAATTATTTCACAATTAATAATTGCCCCCTTTACTGAAAAGCTCAATAATTTAGAAATCTATCATTTCATTCTGCAAATTGTTGAGGCTTTAATGAGACTACTGCAGTGCCCATTCTAAACCTGCTGTTTGGAATGGATTGTTCTCTTCCCCTCTGTTAATGCTCCTGAACTACTTCAGAATTATTCCTTGTCATTAGTAAGTTCACCTCAAGCCATTCAGCAATATACTGTCATGTTTTATAAACAGTCAGTGGTGCAGAGAGAAGTTAGGAAACCTTGTGATCATCCTTCCTGGAAAATTATACTGAATTGTCTTCGTTGCTGTTCACTTGGTTGTTTGAATGATTTACTGAACTGGTGATATTTCTCAAATTGCCTTTCAGCTGCATGTCAGCTATTTTAGAGGTCTGTCAAGTAATTGACACAATCTTCAGATCCAAGTTCAAAACTTTCCAAAATAAAGCTCTGTAATTACCCTTCTGCATGCATTGCAGCAACAATGACGATTCTATAAATGTTGTCATTACGGAGGGATAGCACCCATGACTCCTGTGAATGTCTGTGTCAGGCCGATATGGTGAAATAGAAAAACAAAATAATCAAAACGATCTGTTTGACCCATTGACCACTGCAGTAGTTTATCTGAGGACGTAGAGGAAGTCATGACCATGGTCCACACACTGAGGGCACACTGCCCCGCCCCCACTGACTGCTACAGAGAGCTGCTCACTTGTTTATTCAGTTGTTATTACTGTTGAACTTATAGCATGTCCAAATTGCACCAAACATGTGAATGCAATATCTCAGGCAATTTACAATTCACATGCCAGGAATGAATGCATTAAGACACACGGACAGAAAGACAGAAAGAACCGAAGACAGAAATACAGAAGGACACACAGACAGAAAGACAGAAAGACATTTGTGGAATAAGTGGGTAGATAATTGTAATTTAGGAATGTATCATTCCCTGCAGTAAAATAAAGCTTTAATGATGTGACCCTTAAGCAAGTGCAAAGATAGCATGAGGGGATTATGAAATTAACTCTCTAACCATGCAGAGTCTCAGAGCTGTGCACCTGCAGCAGAGCCTAATCCTTCCTGCACCAAACCATCTGGAATGGGAGTTTTGCTGTGTGTATAATGTATGGGTCAGTGTGCCGCTGCAGCAGTCCTGACCAGAGCCCCGCAGTGACACCACACAGCTGATTCCTTTATTCTGCCTCTCCTCTCCATCACTATCCACTTCAACTCTCCTGCAAAAAAATCCCTGAGGTCTGCTGCTTTGTTTGACCTTCAAGTGTGTAGGAGAGTAGAAGAGAAGGAAAAAGAGAAATGAGAAAATGTGAGATATTCCCATCCCAATGTGGGAGCATTTAACCAGCATTGAGGGCTGTCAAATCAAAAGACCCCAAGTGGGCAATGATCCCAGCCTCCCGGTGTGTTGCCCAAGGTGTGTCTGTCCTTGAAAGACCGCTGTGAGTGGGGCTTGTCTGTTCCTCGAACCATCATGGCTGTGCACATGCACGAAGCGAAGGGGTTAACACTGCAACCATTCCCATCTGTTGCTAAGGAAGTGTTGCCTGTTGTGCAGGAAACAGGGAGAGCGGTTTCCTGTTATGAAGAAAGGTTTTTAAAGGGTTGCATTCATTCAATCATGCAACAGATGCTGCGCCAGGAAGCCCTGGCCAATAGCAAAAAAGCTTTGGTGTCCTGGAGAAACTGTTTTTGGAAACTGCTTTTAGGAACCACTCTATATACTGTTCTGGTCCAGGAAATAATGTGTGAGGAAAACAGGTTGGAGAAAACACTGATACAAATCTTGGCTTCATTGCTGACAATAATATATACAGAGACATTATGGTCCAATCATTCCAAGAATAAAAAAATATGTCATGGCACCATTCAATAGCTCATGTAACATGGGTCTTAACTTTTCAGCTTCAGGACACACAGAGAAACACTGTAAGTGCTTGTGCCTCATATTTAAGAATCTCCCAAACTGACTGGGTTTGGTCTTGTTCTTATGTATGCAGCCTTGCCTCTTCCCTCTAAATCAAAACATGGCACGGTTGCGCATCTGTGGAGCAGCGTCCAGAACCAAAAGAGTGACCAAATGAAACAGAATAGTCCTCCACTGGTGCTGTCTGTGCAGTAGCTGAAATGCAACGACGTGCTTTGCAAAAAAAAAAAAAAAAAGAAACATACACAGAGTGACTTTGGTCCGCGCTGTCTCCTGTAGTCCAGCCTCAGGAAGCACCCAGCAGCACCTCCCGTTTCCACACAGGAGCGCACCAGTCTCATGTAGCATCCGCACTGGAGATACACGCCGCCTCGGAGCTCTGCAGCTCGCTCTGCAGAAACACACGCGTCTTCTTCTAATTCCAAAAAACATGAGAAAGAAATGTTCTTCAACTCTCCCGCTGCAACTTGACTTCCCCGCAGTGTGTTTGGATTAAGTCACCACGTTGTTCGGAGGGACTCTGCGAGAGGGAACCATGAGAAGTGTCGGATCCCGTGGATGATGATGTCCCACAATGAACGCAGGTTGGTTGCGAATGTTCGTGTTGAAAAGCCCAGAAAGGAAACTTTTAAAATGTTGTACAGCAGAAGAAAGTGTTTGTATTAATTCATGTTCACAGTTCTGTCTGAAAACATGTCACCTGTTTATTTTCCACATATTTAACATGTAAATGCCGATTCTTATCCAACACTGGTGCAGTGTTTGATACCAGTTATGTCATTGATAATTAACTATTGACACAGCTATAGACTGGTTGAACTGCTGAAATGTTCATGGATTTAATTCAGCTGCTTTTCCCCCATCAGATTATTATTTTTTTTTGATTTTTAGATTAACATTGGTCTCAGTTGCTGTCAGTGAGAGTTTGCACTGGTCAGATGTTTAATGTTCTAATGTTCAAAATGTGCATGGTTTTAAATAAATATGTTCTGTTCTAGGATTATGGTTGGGGTTGGTTTTGGGATTATAATCTGTGAAAGCAGACAAACCCCATTGTTCAATACAGAAGGTCACCTGTCTGCAAACTGTGTATTTCTCAAAACAAAGGAGTTGAGAGATGGTTTTCTTTTGTGATTTCTTGTGAGATGTTTCAAAGAAAGTCATTTTTCTCAATAATTGAATCCAATTTTTTTCCCCACTCCTTTGTCAGACAGATTCAGACAATTCTTTCTTTAGATTTGACAGGTGACATTTCAGGACACGGTCTGAAATCATATCCTGTAGTTTTGGCAAAGCCAAGGTCCCTGTGTGTATCTCTTCCTTTGTTTTAGAAACATTTGTTTTAATTGAATTCTTGTTGCATAATTCATATCCTGTTGTTTGCAGTTGGGTGTTTTGTCAGAGCGGGACCCTTGTTTTCTCTTGCAGTTTTATTGTTCTTTGACGCACTCTAAAAGACCTTTCCCCCCCCCAAAAGTGTGTGTGTATGTGTGTGTGTATGTGTGCATACACATCAGGCAGTGTGAGAGTGTTTCGTGAGAATCGGGGAAGAATGACAAGAAGGAAGTCCATTTGTGTTGTGAAAAATGGGTACTCCTGGAGAGGTTCATGGAGGAGTGATGAGGGGCCATGCTGTTAATGTCCTTCCCCTTTTGACATCCTGTGTGGAGTCCTGTTAGGGTCTGCTGGAGGAGAACCTGGAACACAGACTGTGGTGACATTCACAGAGGAAAAAATATGTACCTGTCAGTATGGGCAGAATGAATGACAATGAGAAAATTCAGACCAATGTCCAGAGAGTCCAACGAGATAGGTGACAGTGAACACACTCAGAGAGTCTAAGTGCATAGAGGGTTTAAAAGGATGTGCGTCAGGGCAGGTACTAAATAACAGGAAGAGACAAGGGGTGTACACACTTTGTTAAGTGTGGGTGTGTCTCATGACAATTCCAAATTTTGTAGGCAGTGCTTTTTAATGACTTCAGTCACTGCAGTGCACGTTCTTAACATTCCTGTTTGGAATGGTCTATTCTCTTGCCCTGTGTTAATGCCCCGTAGCTGCTTTAGAATGATTCCTTGTCATCATGAAACTTTTCTACGATCTACTGTCACTTTTTGTTGTTTGTGTGCTGGATGTTGTGTGAATATCTTTTTATTAACAGTCTATGGTGCAGATTGAAGTTAGAAAACTCTGCGTTCATCTAACCTGGTTTATCTGCGATGACGATCTTAAAGTCAAAACGCACCAAACTTGGCACTGCACTTCCTCTGGAAATTTGCACTAGACATGCCAAATATGAAGTCGATAAGATGAACAGTTTTCAGGATGTGCTTTCCGCTTACAGACAGACACAGACAGATGTTTGTGGAATCAGTAGGTTGATGTTTAGTCTAAATTAAAAGTAATTTGTGCTGCACAGTGTCAAAATTAGGAAAAGAGGTGTGCTGTAATCATCCCTTATGTTTTCCATTTCAATCTGTGGAAATTATTATCTTTAAAACCTTGATCCGTTGTTCATCCGTTCCTGCTATAAGAGAACAACCTACGTGTCATTTCCCCAGACAGAGAGATGTTATTGTTCCTCCCGTAAGTACCCTGTGACTCTGTTGTTTTTCCTGCTGATAATGTCCCCTGCAGCTTTCTGTATGTCACCGACTGCGGTGTAGGTCTGGTCTTCCTCTTTGTATTCTACACAGAAACAGGGCTCACATGTTTACCCCTGGGTCATATGAAATTATTATTTTTTTGTGTGGTTTTACAGCTTTTAAATGATCTCTCACTCTCCTTGTTACAGATTTTCAAAATCCACTGCAAGTCCCTCAGCCAAAGATCAGTCATCTGACCATCAAAGTACAGTCCAAGCTGATGTCCAGGCCGTGTCCCCATTTTCGTGGTCCAAAACCTCCTGTTGCCCCCAAACCAAGACCCCTGTATGAGCCTTGCCCACAGGGAGAGTCCTGCCCCTCACAGAGCCTCAGTAACGGAGACCTGTCTCACTCTGATGGGGATACTGAAGAGCTCGATGAGATGGTCGAGGAGAATCAGGACCAAGAGGAGGAAAGTGAGGCTAATGGCACTGGAGACAATAATACAGAGGAAACAGGAGAGAGTGAAGGAACAGAGAAAGAAGCAGACATATTAGATAATGAGGGTGATGTAGACAGTATAGGCTCTGAGGAAACAGTCAAAGGAGACAATGCTTCTACTGTCGACACTACCGAAGATGAAAACACTGACAATGACTTGAACCAGCCTGAAGGTGGCGATCACACCGACGATGAGATGACGTCAACGCCTTCTCTTCTTCTGACTGAAACAGAGAATGAAGCTTTAGAGGAGGACGAAGAGGAGATACAGAGTTTTAATGAAGAGACTGAAATATGCTGTGAGTCTACAGGACTCTCTGATGAACACGTAGACGAGCAAACCTCTGATCAAACTCTCCGTCAGAGTGATAAGGAGAGTGATAATGGAAGTGAGGACTATTTAGACTTACTCACAGACAAGACTGAGGTGGAAGCTGGAGGATTTGCGTTTGGATTCTGCGTGCTTCCAACATTAACCGAGGAGTATCCCTACGATGTGATTGGCCCCACGGATGATGCCAGTGATACATGTGAGTCATGTGACCCAGCTGAAACAGGGGATACAGAGGTATGGCAACCAGAACGGGCCACAAAAGATCTTTCCGGATGTTTTCGATTCACATCCAGCACAGAGGATGTGTTTGGGCCTTATTCAGTCATCGAAGCTGTCCCGGGAGATATGACGGACACTGCTGACCCAGAGTGGAGTCAGGATGATACTGATGACAAACCTTCAAGTGAACTGCAAACGCCAGGTGCTTCTAACCAGGAACCTTACTATGTGTCATCAGATGATGTGGACAAGCTAGAGGATAAGCAGGCCCTCTCAGAAGAGGGCGAGACAGAGGAGGGCACCGAGCTGTCAATTCAGCACAAAGACAAAGCAAAAGACAGTGAGTCAGCAGATGAGTATGCAGACATTGATGATTCTCTCTGTCCCAACGCGGATGACTTTGAGCAGCAGGAGTGTGTCTCATCAGAGGATTATGTGGAGATAGGTGACGATGATGAAGAGGAAGAACAGGAAAAGAAACAAATCAGAGGAAAAAGTGCTAAAGAGAGAACTGCCAAACGAGAGCAGGCCTTCCACAACCAGAGAAAAAGCTGTCAGCCTCGCCTTAGGTTGTGCAACATAACAGTGCCAGCAGACCTAGACCTAGGTCGCACCCCAGAGCTCACTAACAGAGTGGTGTTTGCCCACACAACTGAGGCCTTTGAAGAAGACATTGAGGAACTGGACTGCCATATTGTGCCTTACTATGAAAACACAGACTCCGAGAGTGAAGAGCATATTTACGAAGAGGCTGGATTTGACTCAGAAGGGGAGAACTTCGTAACACTGGATAGGAAAACTATCGTCACACGGTCTCGCTCTTATTCTGGAAAAATTACAGGCTATGTCCCAGAAACTGTACCAGAAGAGACAGGGACAGAGTACCAGACTCATGACTACTGTACAGTGGCCTTAAATAAGAATGGTGAACCACTCAACCATTCACGGCAGCCAGGGGTCAACTGTTTGATCCCGTCAATGAATTCTCGCCGCTTCTTGTTATACTCACGGTCTGCAGAGGGTCCAGAATTGTCCTTGACTTCCCCAACAGAAATCAAACAATCTCTGAAGGATGAGATCAGGATGAGGAGGAAAGATGATACCCTCTCCCTCCCATGTGTCATAACCTCTTCTGGAAGCTTCTCCCAGCGTAGCCATCAATCGTCCAGCGGTGTTTCTACACCAACTTCTCTAGTGGACATCCCACCGCCCTTTGAGCTGGCATACATTACTAAAAGACCAGTCACCAAGAGTTCCCCATCCCTGCTGATCCAACATGAACCCAGTGACATACCTAAGAAGAAGAAGTCCTCCTTTAAACGTTTTCTAGCACTGAAGTTCAAGAGGAAGACAGATTCTAAGGGATTCAGTGATGTAAGTGTTCGCTCTTCACGTTCCTCCTCTGAGTCCAGCCACCACGGCAGAGTTATAGAGCTGGACCGTAGGAGCACTGGCAGCTCACCTCAGCTTCAGTCCCACCTGGTGAACCCGCAGCAGCGTCTTTCAGACCTGCCGTCTAGCTTTGTCTTTGACAATGTCCACCAGAGGAGGAAAGGTGACCTCAAAGCTTATGGCAGAGGCGTCTCCAGAGTGGAGTCCTTTGAGGAGCGCTCTCGCCGCTCTGTGATGCCTCTGCCTTTGACCAAACCGCGCTCCATCTCTTTCCCCAGTGCAGACACCTCAGACTATGAAAACATCCCAGCCATGTGCTCAGACTATGAAAACATCCAGATCCCAGGCAGGCCGACCAGATCCCACACTGTGACAGAATTTTTTGAGGATCCAAACCGCACAACAGTTGCCTGTAATGAAAATGATGGCTATGTGGATATGAACAGTTTCCCTGGGATTGACAGCAAAGCTCAGACATTGAAAGCAGACACCGAAAGGTACAGTAACCATTCATAATGAATACAATACTTTTTTATCATTTCAAGCAAATATTAAAAAGAGTTACACAACTTAAAGGCACACACAGTAAGTTATCACATTCTGATACTATGGTTTTATTTGACTAGGTTCTGAAACATTTGTGTCTTAAATATCTGTTTCCAACTCACAATGGAAAACCCCAAAATATATTTATATTTCAATACCCACAATAGTGCTTTAATTATTCCAAGAAATATTGAAGTATTTCAATAGTGGCTTGTTTTTTTAAAATGGATGAATTGTTGAAACAAATCTTGCAGATGTGCCAAATGTTCACTGGCTTCAGCTCAGCCCCCTCAAATGAAACTATTTGTTGGTTTTTATTATTTAAAGAAGCCCACATCTTTGAAAACCATAAACCACAACCATAAATCAATAATTAATAAGATAATTGGCTGATTAAGAAACATTTAAAACAGTTGCAGCCTAATGTTAGCTCTGTAATATGATTAACCTAACATGTGTTTTATTTATGATCCCATATGGTTACAATTAATGTGAAATTCTACAAAATTAAGCACATCCTGAAATTTTCATTTTTCATGTCCAGATCAGACTTTTCATCCCTGGGATTAGTTTCAAAATATTCATCTGAAATGTTAGGCCTGGACCTACTCACAGGTGTAATCTTGACCTCTGAACAGCCGATAGATATTCTTACACTACATCTCAGATGAGCAGGGGGTCACCTGGCTGCCTCTCGGAGCAGAGTGTTCTAGTGAGAGATGAGCAGGCTGCTGCATCAGGCACTGCTGGCTTTAGGGATGACGGACAATGCATGTGGGAGAGCTTACTCGAGTTTCTTCATTTGGAAGATTTAGGGGTCACATCTGGTGCCACTGCTTCCTTTGCAAGTCTGAGGTGATAGAACAGGTAATGGCACGTGGGTGGCTCACTACGCACAGGTTATTCACCTTAGAGAAAGTAATTATGGGCCGCAATTAAAAGTGAAAATATGTGGGGGAGTTCTTTCAACTCGAGTAAGTTCAAAGAGATGAGAAAAAATGGTGAGAGAGGAGAGTGGGGAGGGGATGTGTTAATAAAAGGAGCAGAAAAGTAAAAGAAAACAAAGAATGGAGCTGTTAACTATACGATACGAGAGGGGGAGGGGAAAGTGAGAACAAGGATGGGAGTGAGAGCAGTTGCGGTGTAATTGCTCTCCTGTACCTGACACTTATGGTTAAGTTTAGGAAGGCTTTTATTAAAGTAGCTCTTTCCCAAGTGCTTCTCTTTCATTGGACCCTGGAGGGGCCGCAGGATTTACAGCAGTGTGTGATAGAGTGAGAAATCACCGCGGCCAGGCTGTACCAAATTACCCTGGCCTGTGCCACAGCTCCAGCCACTGAGGGCCACAGTCTTCCCCCAGACTTAATAAAATAGTTGTGTTTGATGGCCTGTGTGCAGTCAAAGCGATGGGTCAATACTAAGAGCTCCCTTAAAGTCTTTCAGACCTTGGGGCCAAATTCATCAACCTCAGCCTGTTTTTATTTCTCATGGTGTCCTTTGTTTATATGTCGTGACGTGCATGTTATATTTAGTAGTTTCTGTCTTTCATAACTTTTTTTTACCTAAATAGCCTCAGCTTGCAGTGCATGCAATTTAATAACTTTTCACACTTATAAAGCTCAGTTACCTTCCTCCAGGTAACATGATTTCATGTCCTGTGTACTTCTGAGGAAATCACAACATTTGAACCCTGTTCATTTCTCAGACAGTGGTCCCTCAGTGAGGGCCCTTTTTTTTTTACAGTGATGTTATCGGCATGGCTCAGATGGTCTCTCACAGTGAGGCAAAGAACCAATCTGTCCTGTCACCTCGCTTTCACCACATTCCCCTTGGAGACACGTCTGTTGCCAGGGCCCCTCTGTGGAGTGTCTGTGCCTGCTTTATGTTTATTTGAGTGTCAGTGCATATGTGTGTGCCCCAAAATTACTCATGTGTAGTCATTTGTCCCTGTCTTTGTGTGTGCATCTCTCGCACTAAACTCTGTTCAGAGCTTGACATTGCCACTGTCCCAGATCGCCAGGCTGATGACGGCAGTGATTTATTGAGAACAAATTCAACAGCCAATGTGGTTTGTACATCCAAAGAGAAACAGCAGATTTTTGTGGCGAGGAAAATGACTGAATGGTCCCAGAGTGCTGCACACAAAAGGACCATGCCTACAGTAGCAGGCACGCATTTTAAAGCAAACTTACAAAGCTGCGGTGCCACAGGCTTGGCTTTTCTCCACTTGTGTGATTAATGCACAGCACCATTCAGACTACATTTCAGCACAAGCATTCAGGCTAAGCAAAGAGACATGTTCATTAGTGGGCAACCGCGGCGTACAACGGGAACCCGAGCATAACCAGGGTGCTCGTATAGGCGTGAGCGTGTATATGTGCATGCACATTAAGTCACAGCTCTGTGCTGTTATCAAAAAATAAGGCTGGCGCTAAGCATGCTGTGTCAGCCGAACTGTCCTCCATGTAGCAACAAGTGAGTGTTGAAAAGAAAAAGGAAGCTCACGCTTTGTGAGTGTGCTCAACTCAGAGAGCACCAGTTGCTCTTGGCATCAACTAGAAGTGGTTGCTGGTAAACTTACAACAATAATGCAGGTGTCTTGTATTCCCTGTGCACATAACAGACAGTTTCTATACCAGTATGTTCAGCTGCAGATGATAAGATAAGATAAGATAATCCTGAAGGAAAGCCAGCTTGCTTCAAGATTTTAACTGTACAATATACAATAAAGTAGAAAAATGGTATTAGTAATAAAGTATAAAAAATGATGAGTGTATTATAAGTGAAAATAAAAATAGATGGCCCTAAATGCAGTTGCAGTGCCTAAAAGAAATAAAAAATGGAAAAAGTTACATAAGAGGGTAAACAAATACTTAAGTGGCAATAGAAAGTAGTAATGGCAATGTAAAAATAAGAGTTGGAGTAGGTAATATGTGATGTAATATTGCACATGAATAGAAAATAATATTTCTCTGTGTCCAATAATTAGTGAAATAATGTGATAATAATAATGTGAAATCTGTTTAACCTTTGGTGTCATTTTCATGTCAAACATTCCAACAAGAACCTCTCCAGCGTGAATACAAAGCCAACCGGTGCCTGTACAACAGCACCTCCACCCACTGTTATGTTAGCGTTACTAGTGATGAGGGAGCCATCTTAAGTACATTGTTGTACTGGGTGGTGGCTGTGTGGCGAGGTGGTGGACAGGGCGTGTCATTTTGGCTCGCCAAGCCTGGTGCCAGGAGCTCTGAGGTCATTGCCAGGTCATCCCCCGGGGAGGAAGCGTCCGGCCTCGGAGCTTCCCACCAGCCTGTTTACAGGAAATGCAGGACGAGGGTGGGACTCTGGCGGGAGGCAGGAGAGGTGGGGACAGGGGAGGACAGATAGGATGGAGTGGGGGGTGTGTGGGGGGTCAGGGTGGTGGGGTGGAGGTTCCCAGACCCCTCCCTTGAACAACAAGATGAGGTGTAGTCCTGTCAGGAATGCCAGGTCTGCTTTTTTTGTTGCTGCAGGAATGTACACCAGAGTGTGTGTGTACAGTCAGAGGTGGCAAAAGTGCACAGAATCTTACTCAAGTAGAAGTACAGATACTTGTGTTAAAGATGACTCCAGTAAAAGTATAGGTACTGATTCAACCTCTTTACGCCAGTAGAGTGTAAAAGTACAAAGCAAATGAAGTCGAAGATTATTTAAATTAAACCACTATACTTTAATTAAAATAAATAACAATCCACTAAAAACAGGGATTAAAGCAAGAAATATTTGTGAGCATGAAAGTCGGTCCAGGATGAAATGTGTGCAATGTATTAAAGGAGGTATTCCTAATTCAAAGAAGCCTCCTCTTCGTCGTTTGCTTTATTCTTTGCTTCCTCTATGTTGGTTCTCCTCGTCACAGATGCATACACGTCTTCTCCACGGTTGTGTCTCCCTCTCTTGACTGTTTCTTTTTGATATGTTGTGTTACATATGCTGTGCGTGATATGCACGGAATTGTCTTTTCTGTGTGTCTATTCATTTAGGTTGAAATCTGTCTGGATGTTGGGAGGGCGATGATGCAAAATTTAATAAACGGCTGATTCCACTCAAATGCATTAAAGGGGAAAGTAACCAGCCTCCTTTTAAAAATGTAAGGAGTCGAGTACAGATATTTGTGTTGAAATGTAGCAGGTAAAATTAAAAAGTCAGCAGGAAACACAGGCTGATTAAAGGTGAACTGACGTTGTTGTATTTAACATACAGTGTGTGTGTTTGGATCACAGCCTGACACGTGATGTGAAGTTATAATTTTCCAAAGCTGCAGCAGTCAGAGCACCAGCATCTTCATAAATCACTTCATCTCACTGTGTCACAGCAGCAGCACAACAGCCACAGGTTACGTGTAATTATCATGCAGTAAAAGCAGCAAACAATAAAAAACTTCTCCCATTCTCTTAATCCTTCCATTAGTATCAACGGCGTCTATAGTTAGACATCTAATGAAACTATTCATCTGCTCCCACTTGCTATAATAGTTTTGTTATAACTAGAAAAAGGCCCATCTGATTGCTGCTAATATATATTTCAATGCTCAATTTTTAGCTCAATTGAATTGCATATTAAAGGCATTAGAGCTCACAGGACATTAGAGCTGTAAAGGACTTTTTACTCAGGAACTGTGTCCTCTGCTTAAACTGATAGGGTCAATTTTTTTAGAAAAGAAATAAAATCCAATAAAAGCAACTTTGAACATTTCAGTCTTCTGTTGAAGATGATTTGAATTAAATTACACTAACTTAACAACTTAGATCAAATGCTTTTTTAGTTTTACTTTCTCATTTTCAAGGAGGTGTCATTATTAGTCAGGTCACAACTCTCTATCACAGAACAAAAGGTTTGCTTTCCAAGATTGTTTATGGTTTGGGGTGAAAAGGTGAAGGTGAGAATTCCCGGCGCAGAGTTTCTCTCAGACAAATGAAAGCTGTCCCCTCACTGGGACAATAAATCAGAGCGAAGAGTGAAAATTCTTCTTTGAACTCATTCCTAAGCTTTACTTCCCTACATCACCCAGCAGCCCACAACAGGCTGACCTGTCTGCTCTCAGGTCAACCATGAGTAATGGGCTGTAGGTGTTTACTGCAGCCCACCCAGCACTGCTGCTCTGTGTGTGTGTGTGTGTGTGTGTGTGTGTGTGTGTGTGTGTGTGTGTGTGTGTGTGTGTGTGTGTGGTGAGGTGTGAATCTCATGAGGCAGGAGTACTGTATGTCTGAATGGAGATGAAGTCCACTGGGTCACTCTGTTAACCTTTGGTCCCATAATCGTTGTCTCTCTGCACACTCAGGAGGCTGTTTACAACACCAGGGCAAACATTCATTAAGGGGCGGTGTGTGTGTGTGGGTGTGTGTGTGTGTGTGTGTGTGTGTGTGTGTGTGTGTGTGAGTGAGTGTGTGTATGTGTGTGTGTGTGTGTGTGTGTGTGTGTGTGTGTGTGTGTGTGTGAGTGAGTGTGTGTTTCTATATAACTTTTGTTTATTTGCACAAATTATTATTGCGTTGAAATTAAAATGATTAGCATTAAAGATCACACTGTTTCCACTGCACAAGCACACATTTACAGGAATATGGCTGCAACGTATTATTACTTATTAAGATGATGAATTATGATAGTTCTCATAAGTAATTTATCAGCCATTTGTTTGTAGTTGCTTTAATTGGTAGCTTGTAAAATGCCACAAAAAGGGAAACATCCCAATCTCTCACTGTCACAACTTTCTAACTTAACTCATAATTAATGAATTAATTAATACATTTGACCAAAACCCAAAGTAATTTAGTTTACAAACTTAAATTATTGTTTATAATTCTTGGGGACAAAATAATTCATATCGTTTTCAGTGTATAATCAGTCAAACATTATGAACCGACACAAGATTTGTCAGCAGTGAACAAGTGAATCTATTATTAAATGATCATATATACAGTCAAGTAGGCTGCAGACCAGTATGCAACTCCAGATGAAATTGCACTTTGTTTAATTGTAAAATACCAACAAGGGTTTGTTTTTCTTTTAATATCTTTAACTAGATATAATTGGCATCATTTGATGTTTCATTGCAGTAAACTGTAGCTTTGTAACTACATACTGTATTAAGAAATTAAGTCTCTCAATCAATCATCTCTCCTCAACTTGTGTAGCAGTCTTACACAAAACGTGTTGTCATCCATTTATCCTCCTGGCAGTGAATTAGGTCAAACACACTGAAAGGGTCTTAATGGGCCAGAGGACATTAATAATTACCACAGGTAACATTTAAAGGGATTACATGTGAAATGACCTACAGCGTGCCCCCCTCAGGTACAGCCGCAGCGCACAAAAGGATTACGATTGTATGTACACAGCTGTGCCCATCTGTGGGAAGAGCGAGTCATGAAAGGGATTGCATGGTGCCACCGGAGGACACATGTGGGGAATCTAAATGTTCAGAGACACACACAGGAAAAGGAAAAACATATATAAACAGAGGACTTGAAATATTGCTTGGTGTTTTGAGAATATGCTGCTATTAATATAGTATACGATTAATGGCTTTTAACTGGAAATGTGCCATTGGGAATTTGAGTCTCTGCCCTGTATCTCCACTTGAAGATATATAGTGTATTTCTTCATGATTGCATTGTATATGTTTGGTGCTGTTATACTATTAAATATGCGTACTTAAGTACCAGTGCTGTGTAGCTGTATTCACACTGTCCTCTCTCTCTCCTTGACAGCGCCTACACCGAGCCTTTCCCGATGAACCCCGTCTCTGCTGGGCTGTCAGCGGATGAGGACCATGGCCGTACCTCCGAGGAAGAGGAGGGAGTGGCGGAGCAGAGTTATGACCGACAGGTGAGATAAATGAAATCAAGGTAGAGAGTACTCCATTTCATTTTCTCTGATCCATCAAAATAGTCCATTTAATGGTTTTATTGTATTGATCGGCCTCAAATTCCAAATTTGGCACATGAACCTGCAGATTTGAATAAAAATGACAACATACCATAAAAGAAAAAGGAGAGACGTGCTAATATTGTGATACATATACAGGTCTTGATCCATGTGACACTAATATACACGTGAACTTTCTGATTCACTGACGTACTGAATCACCTCGACCCCTCCCCCAGACTTCCGTACAGTAAAAACGCAGCCATTTTACCGTGGCTCAGACACGGACCCCACCCGTCCTGCTGCTGCCACAATAGACCCCTGCTCCTGTCATGTGACATGCATTTCCTTGTTTAGTTTGTCTTCAAAGGAAAAACACAATAAACTGAAGAAAACACATAGAGGAAGAGGAGCAGATAGATTTGAGTTGGCCTCAGGAACAGTTTCATTTAGCGTGTTTTGGTTTTTATTTCGAGGAAATGAGGATAAGTTCCTTTCATGTAGTATTTGTGAAATGCACCACAGAGGAAAAAATAACACAGGAGCATTGCCAGTAAAAAAACCCTAAATGGCTTCAGTGTTATGTTTTGGTTGGATGTTTTGAGACCCTGTGATTACCCCCTAAATCAATGGGCAGCATTGTTGTCACCTCACACACAGCCACTCATACATAATGCATCTAAATTTAAAAGTCCCGCATGTGAGAGAGGCTTCATGTCTGCGCTGCACTGTAATGAAGTAATCAGTCTTATTTTGACAGCAGAAATAAAAAGAAAGTGAATTTGCTTTTTCGCCACTCTCCCTGGCTGCTACATAGCAGTTCCTATTAATGTGTGAGAGCAGTAAGTGCCCATAGAGACCCTTTAAACATTAGCTGTGTTCATTCATCTCCCACCGTTCTCTCTCCTTGTCACACAGATTGATGGCCGATCCCGAGCGTTCTACGTCGCCAAGGAGCTCGTCGACTCGGAGAGATTGTGAGCATCTGCACCCGAGGAATTCCCCCATTTGCACTGCTCTCCTGCATGTCATCACACACCAACACGCTGCATCCAAGTCGGATGTTTCTCATTTTGTGCCGCTGTGTCTTCTCTCCCATTCCTTCCGACCATATCTCTCCCGCTCCCAAGCTAATGCCTGTACAGTAACTGACAGCCACTTACAAACATGTCTGTTGAAACTTATTAAACGTTGCCCTTGACACTGCTCCACAATTAACCACTCCTTTGATGTAGTTTCCTCACCATGCATAATTTAGATAATCTAATGAGACTTGTAAGAGTAATGTAGTTTTGCACAAGGTTGAAACGTCCCTCTTAACAATTGAGTAAATCTTCTGGTTTTCTGTTCTTGTTTTGCAGACACGTCGAAGCCATCAAGTACCTTCAAGAGGTAAGAATACCGTTGCTACCACAACCTGTGACAGTAGCTTTAAATGCATCCTGATTCAAGGCTTATTAAAGGGACAGTTCAGTGGTACAACCACAGTAAAGTGGTCATTACAGTAAAGTGGGGTTGTATCAGGGGCAGGGCCAGGGGGGCGTTGGCACAGCTGAAATCTGATTGGCCCCTGAAATGCCCCTGTACTGTCAATGGCTGTTTGTTTTTTCCGATAAACTAGTCCCTTACTAACTATACTAACAATATATATGACAATTTGTTAAGAATTCTTATTATCTAAGCCTTTTGAAGTACACAATGCTCAAAGCTATGGAGCTAACAGTAAATAAGGAATGACTTGAATGTGCACCCTATACTCAATCAGGAATTGTGCATGGATATCGAACATATAATTGGTCATTTATATTATTTAAGCCACCCTAAATAAATCCCCACCAGAAAAAAGTATTAGTTTAAGTTTTATTTTTAATATAATCAGTGTCTTATTTTGCTATGAAACCAATCTTTCCTTTGGTCGTACATATTTTTAACTACTCAACGTCAGTGAGGCAGGGATAGTCATGCAGTCTAGATGTGAGGCACTGGCATTCAACCAAGTCCCACTCATGGTACAAGTAGCTCTGCGGGTCTGTGGACCTGGGCTGACAGCTCACACATCTGCACCATCAGGTATCTTCAGCTCCATCTCAGGATGCAGCTTGGCCTCCAGTTTCCACAAGTTTCCCTTCTCTCTCATTTTCAGCTGATTATAAGTCGCCATCTTCTTCTTTTTCTTCTTTGTTGTTGTTATAATAATAATCTCTCTTTTTCATTCATCCTCTCTGATGTTGAGTCATCTGACAGCATAACTATAGTGTTCACTTGGACAGATTTTTCAAGTGGCTTAAATACTGCTCGCCTAGTCCTCAGATGTTCAATGCTTAGCTTCTCTCCCCTTACTCCTGCCTGCTTCTACAAATGAGAAGCATGTCACCCTATATCTACTGCAGGTCCAAAAGTGACTGTGGTTAAGCACTTCATTCAACCTCTCTTCAAATAATAATCAGAACTATCCCTTTAAATGTTTTTAAAAAAGCTGCTGATAACATCATATCCTGTGTCTGCTCCCCAGTCTCTGTCTCCTTCTTCTCCTCCTCCCCTCTGTTGTTAGGCTCTGCTCAGGTTTATCAATGTTGTTGCAGCGAGATCTACTTCCTGGTCTTGACAAAGTTGACGTGTACTCTGGTGTGGTCGGTTGTAAGATGACGCTGTTTGCGTACGCCAGGCGCTCTCGCTGATGCTTTCCTTGTGTCCCCTACTCAGCTGATACTGTGTGTGGTAGATACACAACGCGTCTGGCAATCTGAAGGTCATGAAAAGGTTGTCGGTGGGGCTTTTTATTAGTGGTTATATTGGATGCACGATGAAAAGGTTGACCATTTAGCAAAGAATTTCCCACTCATAACTGTACAGAAGGAAGGATAGAGAAGTTAAAGGTGAGCTGTAGTAAGCCTCCAGAGGTCAGTTATGCATCACAGCCAACTGTCGTCATCTATTTTCATCAATTCTCACCCACTGCCTGTCAAAACAAAACAACATCCCTGAGGAGCTACATGCAAAGGAGGACATTCCCAAAATGGACACTGAAACCATGTCTGTAAATTAATTTTGATGAGAAAAGACAGTCTAAACGGAGGAGTGGGACAGGCAGCACCTTTTAAAGGATAGCGTGAGAGAGTTTCTATTACAGTGATGGTTTCCGGTACATCTCTGACAGGTAGAGTCACTGAACACGGAGCAGCCCATCAGTCAGCCTGTACCTTATAACCTTGAATAAGGTCATGAGATGAATTTCTTACTCGTGCCCCCTCGGTATGATTTATGAAAGCCTGCTGAGAGTACAAAAAGCAGCTGCTTTGTGTGATGAGCAATTTAGCAAGTAATGCAAATATTATACCATGGACGCCTCTAATAATCATAAATCTCCAGTCTCATCATGATGCTGAATTATACCAATTAGTCCCTGCATGTCTAAGTAGAGACAGAAACCAACGCTGCAAGTTTATGGATACGAGCTTCAGGAATTACATTTTGAAAGTAGTTTCCAAATCTAGCCAGAATCATTTTTCAGTGTAAATTGTCTGTTTTACACATTCTGACATGAAAAGACGACGTTGCAGCTCTGCTCGTGCTCCTCTTCGGTGTTACTATACCACCTAATTGAATCTTTTCACCACCTTTCAAAGGTGACATTGAAGGCTTTTTCATCCCACTGATGCATAATGCATAGGAACAATGTCAGGATCTGTTTAGTCTTCAAACTTCCAGCAGAGATCAAGACGTCGAGGTGTTAGTTACTGATTGTTGCAGGCCGATGTCGTAATTAGCATGAAACAGTAATTCAGCTGGGAACGCTCCAGTGGCACAACATGTACAAACACACTTTTCTTTTTGGGGGGGTGGGGCGGGGGTGGGGTGTTAAGTGAGAGGCACACATGAGGTATTGTTCCATTGTTTGATAAGGAATAACAAGAATACAAAGAATTTCCAGCCCCTGTCTCCACATAGGAAAGGAGGCCGTGCTCCTCTTCTAAACGACTTTCCCTGTAACGGCTGCAGCATATAAAGCTCGAGACTTATTATTTTTCCATTGTTTGTGACCCGTGACCTCTGAACAGATTCTCTGTGCTGACTTATAGTGGAGCATGACTGGCTGCCCAGCCCACTGCTTAGTGTAGCTTTTTTTGACCCGACTGACGTGAGGAAAATAGGGATAAGGTGAAGCGTGGACTGGCAAAATGGAGAGCAAAGCGCCTCTCATTCATGCATCTGAGTGCTTGTGTGCTTTATGTGTGTGTGTGTGTGTGTGTAACCTGGGAGACTGAGTCAACAAGAGTTGTTAAAGTAGCTGTTTGTCTGCCCGGAAGACGTGATGAATGTTAACCCATACACGATCGATTGTGCATGATGAACGGCACGATCTGAAGTGCCCACTGTCACCACATTATCTGGTGTCCGACTGGGACTTCTCTCTATTTGCTTCATGTCTGTGTTCTGCTCAGACCTGGAATATACGGGCTCCAGACACATCAAGCCTTTATATATATGATGCTAGTTCCTTTGCCCACAGAGAAAACTGTCAACGCCTCTGAGCAATTCATCCACTTTCATTTGTTTCTCTTTTTCTGCCTTTATTTACTGACTAGATAAAGTACCTCTTCCTTGGTTTTTCTCTCCCGTGTGTCATAACTCTTCATATTAGTCCTCTTAGTCACTGACACTGCAGCTATTAAGGCCTGCTGCACTTGTTTTATGATTGTTGAACAGACTGCAATAGACTTAAATTCACTGTATATCAGTGAGTTTTCGGGTCCTTGTCCCAAATCAGATGACAAGTGGGGACTATGTACAAATCAGCCATTGAGCACCAAGGTCATTATGCAACAACACCTGGTGTGTAACTCTTGTGCAAGCAGTGCCGCCTTTCCTGAATGCCTGGACAGAGCCCAAAGTACTGAGGTGATATGAAGGGAGGGTGGCAGGAAGGATGTTTAGGAGGATCTGACCTTCCTTCCCTTTTTCTCCCCACTCTTCATTCCTCATTCCTCTCTCCCGTACATTTCTCCTGCTCTCCCTCCCTGCCTCATTCCAGCCCCACAAACATTTCCTCCATTCCTCTCTCGTTTTTCTTCTGCACCTCAACTTGGTCTTCAAAAAAAAAAAAGGTTCTGTCCCTGTAATTCCTGTTTTCCCTCTCTTGTGCAGGACTTTAGGTCAGCTGTGGCTGACACACTGGGTGAGGGAGGGGAGCCGGTGCTGGAGGAGCAGAGGCTGGGGGAGATACTGGGCGTGCTCCCCCAGGTCTACACCCTCCACAGCAGCATCCTCTCTGAGCTGGAGGAACGCATCAGTCAGTGGTAAGAAACACAGCATATCTGACTGACAACAATGCCATAAGTTCAATCATTTCTGTAGGCCCACAGTTTGTATTTCATTTTTATATGTTTTATATAAAAGTGTCTATTTTCACCAACATGAAGTATTGAAACAAACATATTGATTCTACCCTGAGGTCACAAAAATCTTCCACACTGTTGTAACCTTGCTTGTAAAAGAACCTGTGGTAGACTTCAGTTGTCATTAAAACTAAAAAAACGTTTGTCCAGTCTAGACAAATGTAAAAAAGATGGCGGCCTCCGTAGAGAGGACCCCCTCGATGTAAATATTTAAGTATTTAAATAGAAAGGGACTTTTCTCGGGTAAAGAAAACTACAATTCATACAATTTACAAATTTGTGCCAATAATTCCATTTCACCTAAATCTTACACACTGGACCTTTAAGGATGGTTTAATAATGGGAGAGTATCAACATAGCGAAGGGATAATGTTCTGTAGTAGTTCTGATTGTGAAAATGTAAGAAATCTTCTTTTTTTATTTATTCAAATGTAAATTTGTGTAAACTTCTCTGTCCTTAAAGAAAAAGCAAAGCATCTCTTACATTCATAATTTTCTGCTGATCACAAAAATCACATTTTAAAAGATTATTTCAACTTTTTAGGGGAAATTCATGTTTTTATTTTATCGCCAAAAGAAACATTCGCAAACCAATGTCAGCATCTCTATTTAATGTAACAAACAAGGGGTTATGTGCTCAACTATTTCTTGCATCATCACACACTGATGACAAGACTTTGTCAGATAGAATTCAAAATTGCTATTTCCCCTTGTTTGAGGTGTTTTAGCTATAATAAGATGAGTTTTGAAATGTGCCTTTAAATCAGTCAAACACTGTCCAGGAAACTATTAACTGAGGTACAAGCAGCAGGTTGAGGAAGAAGTGGTTACAACTGAAAAATAAATTGCTCTAAAGCTTTTGTAACCATCACAGACTTACTTGTTTTGAAATGTCACAGTGTTGAAGGATGTGTCCTTTTAAACCACAGTGTTCTCTGTGAGTGATTAAAGACAGAGTGTCTCATATTTGATTTTCCTCACTGTGAAGGGAGGAGAGCCAAAGGGTGGTAGATGTGATTCTGTCTCGTCGGGAGGACTTCGGTGTGTTTGACACGTACATCTCAGAGTATGATCGCAGCATGTCCTTACTGGAGGAGAGCTGCAGGAACAACCCAACATTCGCCAGCATCGTCAAGAAGTTTGAGGTAAAATATTTGACGTTAAAATCATTGTTGCTGTGAATGTGACTTCTTGTCAATATCCGTATAGCTCTGTTTGTATCTGTTTTCTCTTATTGTACTTGAAACACATAAAGTCTGCGTGATACCCAGAGATCCTCTTCGGAGGGGAAGTGTTTTGACAGTCACATATTAAAATCTCAGGTTCAGTTTCCATGTTTGTGGAGGGAAAGTAAAGCCTTGTGGGTGTTTTCGCGGAGCAGAGATCAAACCTGGTATTTCCCCTGGCTCTCGCTCGGCAGCTCTCAACTTATATTTTTGTCACCCAGCTTCCACATGGGAGATAATGTCCTTTTTTTAAACCCTCTCTATCTTGCTCCTCTCCATGGGACTGACCTTTCCACTGTCATGCTCACATATTTTACACTCGCTCAACACAAACTACTCACTCTTTGTCCAGCATGAATCTCTTCATCCCAGAAACGCCCAGGAGAGTGGGGAAGAGGGATTTGGTGGAGGGGATCAAATGCAATGAAGGGCTTGAATGTCATTGCATGGATACATGAATGGTGTTCCTGGATCACCCAATCAACACTTTATCAGTGTGTTGAATAAGAATGTGTGTAGGCTGTGTTGGTAAAAATACACATGACTGTTTTAAACTAAAAGACAGGATATTAAGAGAGTCTAAAGATAAGACCACAGAGATACAGCAGTAGATTTCTCATTTCCATGCAGCCATGCTCTGTCGAAGGAATTGATTCACCACTTACTGCTGTGCAACGGCACACAGGTCACCCTGAGTAGAAATAATAATGATTCCATATTTGTTTGGTCATTTTATCTACATTATATGCAGATTTTCTGGATTCATTTTTGTGCTACAGCTCATTTAAAAGCACTGTTACCTATTCAACTGAGCATCTCTCTACACAAATGTACACATAACTAGTTCCACACTGTACTTTGATTCGCCTGTGAGCAGCTGCCATAATGGTTCCAGGCATTTCAAGTTTGATAAGAAGAGCGAACGGACAAGGCACCAACTGTCTCCGCCCATGAATATTCAGCAGCAGCTGGGCCCTCCCCAGAAACATGGTGGCTCTGCCAGACTTTAGTGGGACTGATGTAAATATAAGAGGGTGAAGGTGAGAGATGGCGTCTCTGTGCCGTCATCACGTTTATTAAACACTCGCCTTTAGTATCTTACAGCATGTTTTCACACTTGGTCTGTGTCAGCCAATAATTTAACCTCTTATAACCTTGATCAAACTCATTTATGATCTTCTGCATTTTAGCTGCATGGCACTGAGTTCCTCTTTCCACACTTCATAAACCTTTAACTGCTACCTGCAGAGGCCATAAACGGGCTGATTTGCAACAAAAGATAAAACCGTGAATGGGCATCATCTTATCTAAGGAACAAAGTCATCTTTAATCAGGTTTGGTGTGGATAAAAATGTGCCTTTGTTTTTCTTTTTTTTTCTTTTTTCATCGACCCTTATTTGTGTCAATGTAAAGACTGTGATTCATCTTACACCCCAGAAACTAAAACCCAGAGGCACATTCAAGTGTTTTCTCAGTCCATTGGCAGATCCACCGCACCTGCCACTGCAGATACATGCTGCTTATTGTTTTTACATTTCCCATGTTGCATGTAAGCCTGTTACCTGGGGTCTGTCCTCCCCATCCTCCTGTGTGTGTGTGTGTGTGTTTGTGTGTTTGTGATGATTAATGCTGTGCTCAGTCAGATAACTGTCTCGGGACTTGCATGGTGAGTGTGACCGCTCTGTAATAAAGGAGAAGGTGGGCTAAGAGAGCAGATACACTATAGATAAGACTGAGAGGGACAACAGTCATCTGTCTGCTGGTTGTGTCACTCAGTGTGCTGATCAGAATATTTTCTCAAATTCGAAATTTTCAGCATTGGCTGCTATTTTCCTTCTCTTTCTCTGTTTTCAGTTTTAAACCATCATCACCTCCCTTTTCCTCTTCACCCGCCTGCTCCTCCACCTTTGTTGCTACAAGCCAAAGACCAAAAGTGGTAGTAATCTCATTGTGGATGTGGTGATGACAGTGATGAAGTAGCCGCAGACTCTGATCAGATCAGTGCTAGACCCTTACAGGATTAAAGCCTCCTCTCCACAGCCAGTTGCTTGTTTACAGCACCATCTATAAACATTGGCCGACACTATGGTGTGTGCTCGTGTCCCCTGTGTGCAAGTGTGTTTGCGCCTCTGTGTATTTTTTGCCTGATTGTTTTGCAGGGGCATGTCCCTACACAAAATCTTGTAGATCTTGTGAAACTGTTTTTTAGGAAATCTCTTCCGCTTGGATTTATATTCATGTCATGGCCACTGAGTTTGTGCAAAGCCTGTGTGTGTGTGTGTGTGTGTGTGTGTGTGTTTGTGTGTGTTTTCTCTCTCGAGAAAGCCAGGAGGAGGAGGAGAGGAGGAGGCTGTGCAGCAGGTGGGCGGAGAACGATGGAGGGAGAGAGCGATGGAGTGAATTCCTTGTAAAGGCAGCTGGGCAATGAGGCAGACAGAAGCTAATTAGAGAAGCAGCCTCCTTTACAACTCCCCAATTAGATCAGTTGTGTGTGTGTATGCAGGAAATCAGCTGGCCGTGACGGAGCCTGAAAGGTGTATTTGTCTGTGCATGTGTGTGTGCGTGGGTGTGTGTCTCCCAGCACGAGGCATCACACACACCCTCTTCTCTCCTCCTCCATTTGGCTCGCTCACCCAAACAAACCGCGCGCCAATTACCACCTCTGGAAAGCCACTTCCTCTGAGCAAGTGTCAATTGGATGACAATCTTCAAGCGACACTTGAGAAGAGCGGATGTTCTGAAGCCAGTAATAAAGAGGAGCTGGTTATTATTGTGCTCAATGCATCATGCTGTGAGGGGGAGGGACGAGGAACGAGAGGGGGGGGGAATGAAAAGTGAGAGAAACTCAATTAGGGGTTGTTGCTGAGGGCTGAAGTTAAGGAGGGAAGCATGATGAGACTGAAAAGGAAAAAGAAAGAGACATAAAGACAAGCATGCATGAAGACCTGCTCATTAAAAGAGCCATCAGCTCGCCCTCTGCTTTACTTCTGTCTCGTGATAATGAAGACATAGAGGAGTTAGTGTGTAGCTCGCATCCCATCTCCGCTCTTTACAGGCCCAGCCACTGTTATCTCTGGAGCTGAGTGTGGGGGGGTGGGTGTGTGTGTGTGTGCGTGCATGTGTGTGTGTGTGTGTGTATGCAGTGTAAATAGCATGAAATGCAGCTTCCCGCAGGGTGCTATCTGTGCCTCTCTAATGAAGGGTAGGACTTCATTGGATTATAAAAATACTTTGTGTGTGTGTGTGTGTGTGTGTGTGTGTGTGTGTGTGTGTGTGTGTGTGTGTGTGTGTGTGTGTCCCAGTCCCCCGTTGCTCCTCCACCTCTCAGGGTATAAATACCTGTCAGAGACAATTAGGTCCTGATTGATTTTCTCTTTGATTGTGCCAATCTCAGTCGCCTTTCACCTGCAAACGACTGCTCTTAGAAGAAGAATGGGATTTGCTCTGTTTCTTTGGTTGCAGGAAGAGATATGTGAAGGTCAGCCTGCCCGACAGTGTTCGCTTTGTTAAGTGTGACCTTGACTCGTAGCATCTAATAGCAGAGGTCGTCCTTGTTAGGAGACAAGGCTGTGGTTTTGTGGGTGTGGTTCGGGGGATACAGAGGGGTTCTTTGTCAGTGCATAGAATAATGAGAGTTTCATTTTGCTCCAGTTTTATTCTGCAAAAATAATTAGGTGTCATTGATACACAGTTGAACAATTCAGTTACTGAATGCTAATAGAAGCATTTTCCTATAAGATTCTTACAGAGTCTGATTTGTCATTTTAATGTGGGTTTCGGATTGTGGTTATAAAAATATGTCACACTGCATTATTACAGGAAGTGACAAGATGAAGCATGCAGTATATGATGCTGTATACATATATGAATGTGACATAAGCTTTATTACTGTATACAGTAATATATCCCTCTATCCATCCATCCCTCCCTCCATCCATCCCTCTATCCTCCCTTCCTTCCTTCCATCTATTCATCCATCCTTACTTCCTATCTTCCTACCTTCCTTCCTTCCATCTATCCATCCATCCCTCTGTATTTCCTTCCTTCCATCTATTCATCCATCCATCCTTCCGTCCTTCCTTCGTACCATCCATCCATCCATTACCTGGACAGCTTATCTTACTTTGACTATATCTATCATACATTAAACTCTGGATATTGGTACCTACTTTCAGTTCTGACTCTGTCTGTGTGTTTGTGT